AGAGTATACTTCTAAGTTGAACACACTGTACAATATAAATAACTCCTGTTATCTGGGACTATTATACTAACGTATAAAAATAAGTCCCAGCTGTTATACACCATCAAACAAAATATTTCTTTTGATGAACACATTAAGGACTTTTATTCCCATATTATATATATTATTCTATCTGCAGTCAAAATGACATTTATCTAATTAACAACCCCATGCTTCTTCAGTCCAAATTTTATAATCTGCAAATGAGCTTGCATCCAGCAAAAACTGACAGTAGTTTAATATATAATTAAGTAAAGTTCAGGCAGTTTAAGTCAATATAAACTGTTAACACAGAGATATGTCTCGCATTGTTGTAATTTTGATAATGCAAATGTTGAAATTAACATATAGCAATACTTAAACATTAAAGTTATGCAAATATTCAAAGTCGATGAACCATGACTGAAGGTACATGGCTAACAATCTCCATAGAAATGAGATGTGCCAATGCTAATTATATAATACAACTGCATACCAAATACCATTGAATTTAGCATAATTAAGTTGTTCCCTTTAAATAAACTGTAAACACAGAGATATGTCTTGCCTTTTTGTAATTTAGATGATGCAAATGTTGAAATTAAAATAGCAATACTTTAACATGTCAGTTATGCAAATATTCAAAGTCAATAGACAATGACTGAAGGTACATGGCTAAACAATCTCCATAGAAATGAGATGTGACACAGTGCTAATGCTAATACAACTGCATACCAAATACCATTGACTTAAACACAAACATTAACTTGTAAACTATGTAAAAGTTTCAAAGTCAATGAACCATGATGAGGGGGTGGGGCTATATAATCTCCATGGAAACGAGTCTTGCAAATGCCAACAAATTTGCATACCAAATATCACTGACTTAACATTAGCGCTTCATCTTAAACTGATCTAATCACAAACTATTTAATACATGTAAACTAAGGAAAAAGTTTTAAAATTATAATAGACCATGACTGAGGGGACGGAGCCAAATAATCAGCTTGGAAATGAGATATGCCAATGCTTATACAACTGCATACCAAATATCATTGACCAACCACTAATGGTTCCCCATAAACTGACCTAATCACAAACTAATACATGTAAACTAAGCAAAAGTTTTAAAGTCAATAGACCATGACTGAGGGGGCGGAAACAAATAATTTCCATGGAAATGAGATGTGCCAATGCTTATACAACTGCAAATATCATTGACCTATAACTAGTGGTTCCCAATAAACTAACCTAGTCACAAACTAATACATTAAACTAAGCAAAAGTTTCAAAGTCAATAGACCATGACTGAGGGGGCTGGGCCAAATAATTTCCATTGAAATGAGATGTACCAATGCTAATACAGCTGCATACCAAATATCATTGACCTACCACTAGTGGTTCACCATAAACTAGACCTAATCACAAACTAATACATTGTTGACGCCTATACAGCCAACGCCGCAAACAGCATACCTATGTCTCGTTTTTTGACTCTGTCAAGGCAAGACAAAAATTGTAAATTACTCTCTCTACCATTGTTTTAAAAATAATGATCATGATATCTTATTTTTACAGAGCATATTATTAAAATAGCAATTCTCTGTAACCACCAACCAAGTTGCAGACTTTTTTAAAATTTTGTTTGTTGGTAGCTATCGACAAACATAAGAAATATATAGACAAAAAAAGTGTTTATATTCCCTTTTGCCATGGTTACGGATCCCCTTTAAATTAGGCTCAAAATTGCATATTTGAGATGGAAAAATTACCATTTTCAGTTAGTTATCGTGCACACATTTCAATTTTGATGAATATTGTAACATTTGTTTATTAAAATATAACATTTAAGCTTAGTTAGAAAAGAGATGAAAAATAATTCTAATGAAAAGGCAAGGAGGTGGCTAGTAGTCTTTGATATTTAAAAAAAATGGAGGAATAGACAACCTGGGACCAAGAGACTGTATTATTCATGTAAGTCCCAGGTGCATCAAATTGTCATTAAATAAATGAACAAAAAACAAATAAACTGTACAAAAAAAAAGAAACTTCACTTTTGTAAAGGGATAGAATAGAGTCATTAGGATTACTATTGAATGACTATACGAAAAATAAGGTTATTTTAATGCCCATTGCCTTCAATATTTGTAAGAAGTTAGATAAATTAATGAAAATCATACATACTAATTAGGCCAAGAAATGTTCAAAAGAACTCTTTAATACACAAATGAGGAGATGTAGTCAGGTGGTATGACTGCCAATGAGACAAATATCTACCAGACACTAGAGAATGTGGATAATAAGCAACTAAAGGTCACTGTAGGTAAGTCTGTGGTAATTTCCTTGAGAATTTCAGACAGAGGAACTAATCGATGTAAAATATTCGATTGTTAACTTCACACAAATATGTAATCGAGCCTTGTTTTAGGGAGACTATGTGCATAACATTATTTAAAGGAGGGGTGCAGGGGCATTAGCTATGAGATATGAAAAAAAATAGAATATGATTAAGTTTGGTTCAATCATTAATAAAAGTGAAATAATGAAATAATAATTTGCTTTAAGCTGCCAATTTGGTTCAATTTTGTCAAAATAAGCAAAGAAACATCACTGATGAATTATTCACTTGCGAGTGAATAATTCGACCTCATTGAATCCGTATTCATGTGACCTTCAGTTTAACCCATTACTGGTAAGCATGCTTTAGTCATGTTCAGCCATTTAAAGGAAAAGAATGTCAACATTGAAAGTGAAACAAAGGTGAATCATTTTGTTGACTGATTCGATTCACAAAAAAATCATTCTTATACAGGTAAAAACGATAGTTAACTTATTTTTTAACCTATAACATGAAATGAAACAGACATAGAAAAATCCAATGCAGGAGGTCGCTATCTATTCATATCTATGTTTTTGTTTATATCGGGCTATGTGACCGTCGACAGTCTTCAGAGGTCATCTCGATAGTTAATTAGATGGCGTCTAGACTAAAATACACACTATCGAGTACATGCATTGTTAACTGTTTATTTCAGACTTACTGTAATTTGGATATACGTTTTAGTATGTTATAAATCAAATTTGAGAATTTGAGTCAAATCAGTGAACATGATTTTAACAGGTAATGCCCCTTTAAACTTGAAAGTGATGTATTTTAGAAAATTGCTCTATACATCTTAAAAAATATGATTATCCCCAATCTTGCCCATCTTCTTACAGATAAATAATATCCAAATCTTAAGTATAAATGCAACTAATTTAATAAGAAAAAAGTCTAAAAGAAGTGAGAACATCTTGTACCTGGACCCAAAACACAAGACTCACAAAAACAAAACCTCAAAAATAAGACTCTGATATATAATATTATGTATTAAAATAAAATTGTACACTGTAGCTCAAATGGATTTTGCAATTTCCTGCTGTTCACCATGGGCAACATTTCTAGATGATCCCTTGTGTATATGTATATGTTGGTCTCTTGTGGAGAGTTGTCTCATTGGCAATTATACCACATCTTCTTATTTTTATATCCTATGAAGTGAAATAGGTATTTCTTTTGCTTCATTTAACAAGAGTGCACACGCTGAAATGTCTTGCAGTATTTACTGACCATTGATTTTATGTTGGAAGTCTTAAAGATAAAGGTTTTACTACAAGTATCACATTAACTTAACATTTTTAAAGATCCATGGCAATGAGATCAAGGTCAGATAATCCTGTCAGACAGACATGTTTAACTTACAATTATTCCATACACCTATTGATTATGGTAATTGAAAAATAGACATAATACAAAAAACTTAACAATGACCAATGAACCATGAAAATGAGGTAAAGGTCAGATGAAACCTACCATATTGACATGTACCCCTCCCAATCATTCCCTACACTACACATAGTTGACCTACTGCTTATAGTATCTGAGAAACAGACCTAATAACATAACTTTAACCGTGATTACTGATCCATGAAATGAGGTTGAGGTCAGGTGATCCCTGTTTGACGGACATGTAGGCGATGCAAGGAACCCATATACCTAATAATGTTATCCTATTACTCATAAAAAGTGAAAAATTTACATGGCCAAAAAAACTAACTTTTTTTCAAGCAGTCGCTGAACCACGAACATGAGGTCAAGGACAATGACCATGTATGACAGATAGAAATTTCATAACATAAGGTACAAAATGTATCTGCATACAAGGTCTGAAGCATCCAGATCTTCTACCTTCTGAAAAATAAAGCTTTATACAAATCGTTTACTCTGCCGCCGCCAGATGGTAATACCTATGTCATGTATGTCTCACATACTGCGACGAAAGTCGCAGACGAGACAAAAACTAGAATGGTATTGGTTGGCTGCCCACTATGGACGAGTGGTAATAACAAAATCCACACAATCTGTAGAGTACCATACAAGTAATGCTGTGTTCACATGTAATACCAGTACAATGCATTTTGGATTCATCTGTGCAGTAAAATGTAGAGTAGCACTTCTACTGATTCTTCAAGGGGCGAACAAAAAATGTTAGTCCAGCTTGAGCAAAAGAACAAAATATAAACATTGAAATATTTTGAAAATGCAATACATCTAAATTTCTTCAATTCTGGTTTTTAAATTTCTTTAAATGAGTATTAAAATTGACATTTCCACACTAAATGGTCTATATACAATCAAATATGAAAGATACAAAAAGGTGAAAAGGGAGTCAAAATATATGTCTACTATAAACTATAACCCTTGAAATTAAGGTATATATTTTGGGTTTAAAGAAAAAATCCTTTTTTCAATCTTTATTAAACTTTCATGTATGACATCATATTGTTTGAATTACACAAATAAATGTTTAAAAAGAAATAAGGAGTCTTTTTAGGATGGGTTAGGGTCAATGTCAAGTTCATTCAAAATACCCCCCAAAAATAATGCATATATGTAGTGTGTATTACATGCGACTACAGCAGGAGATTGAACTTTGACCTACATGAATATTCACCATCCTCTTCCCATGACAGCTCATCATCCGTGTCAGAATCAGTGTTATGTAAATCTGAATACCCCTGGTCTCTTGCTTGCTGACTGTTAAATGATCTGTTCAGTGGTCGTTCCTCCTTAGTTCTAGGAACACCTTTCTTTCGTGTTTTCATTTTCATCTTGTTTTTTTCTTACGCATCTTTAACTGTTATAGGTCTGCCGCAATACTTGTAACCATCTGAAGATATGAAGAGACAACTGATCTTATATATTTACAAGATTGACCTTTTTATAAATATACTTCATGCAATTTTTTTACTGGTCCCTTCCAGATGTGGATCCAGGATTTTGAAAAAGGGGGGAGGCCCAAATTAGGCAACGGTTGGAGTGGAACATGTAAAAAGTCTATGCATTAACCTTACATATGTAGTTCCATTATTGGACAAGACAATCTATGTACTCTCTAGAAAGGACCTCCTGAGAAATTGAAATTTCTCACATTTACTGAAAAAATTAATCAATGTTAGTGTCCCATTTAAATAGGAACTCAGCTTGCCATAAAATATCTAGGTCATAAAAATATAGTTTCATAATCAAAGATGGTTTATGAATACAAATTTATACACATTCCAATATTTTGTCAATTTAAATGAACAAGAAATATTCTAACACTTATATATTCCAAACACCAAGATATTAATAATAGCTGATTTTCTGAATTGCATGTTTAACATATGTCTTTGCAGAAAGTTTTTTAAAGAAAATTAAATACTTGTATTCTGTGAAACTCAGTACATATAGCCGAGGGAAAAGAAAAAAATAGTGCATAATATACGTATTATTTCTCTTTGAAAAGTTACAAATTTTTAAATTCAAAAACACTGATGTTATTCATTGTTTGAACTCAAATTTGTATTGCTGCATCCATCACATTTCAAACATGCTTGAAAACTTACATGCATGTATAGATCTTTAATTTATTTTCAAACTGCACTGGTGGCAGCGGTCCAATATATACAGATTTGAATTTGCTAGGACTGACAATTTTCCATACAAATGTTGGTGGTTCAAGTATTTTTCCTAGATTGATTGATTGCTGTTGTTTAACACCACTTTCAGCAATATTGTGGCACAAAGTTTTTATTGGTGTAGGAAGCTAGAGTAGCTGGAGAGAACCACCAACTGACATTCAGCAGGAAAACTGAAAATCCTAGTCAATTATGCTGGGTTGGAATTTACAACCTCAGTGTTGACAGGCTAAAGATACAGTAGTTAACTACTTAAGGACCACTTAGCTATCCAGGTCCCTTTTTTTCCTAGAAATTTTTTTGAAAGAAAGATGGGTCGAATGAAAGGACTTTATCATGAATTTTGAAAGATGGGGCTATTAATATACAGTAATCTTAGGTAATCGGAAATTTCAAAATTTAAAAGAACGGGGCCTAGATTGATAGTAGGGGGCACAACCATACATAAACTTCTGAAGTTTGTGTCGCTGTTTAATGAATCATTAACATATACCCAACATTTCTTTTTATTCAAACAAAAGACCATCTAAAATTTTCAACTTCCAACAAAAAAATGACAAAATCTACCCAAGATCCTTTTACAAAAATTAATAGTTCTGCATGAACATCCAACAAATATATTTTTTAACCTATGATGCATTTATATCTTACCACAATAGGGAAAAGGCAGCCATATACACCATGTAATATAAACAAGAGCTATTTTTACAATCTTAAGGTTGAATAACTTCCTGAATTGCAAAAAAGTTTACCTTGCATTACGTTTCACCGTTGAAACACAAAATTTAAATACCCAAGTATTTCTTTTTATGTATTATTTACTGATATTTATACCTTTTGTTTTAAAGTTTGGTGTTAAAAGTGTTTACAAACAAGTAGAAAGAATTCATAACTTCCCCACTTAGTCTATTAAAATAGCAACGGTATTTGCTAAACTTAAGATAAATACACATTATTTAAATGCTCCAGATATTTCTTTTTTATATTCATTGTCAAACCTATCTTTACACAAACACAAATTTTAAATCAATAAAAATTTAATTTTAAGTCTCCTAGCTTTTCAGATGTGCCCATTTCAAAACTTATAAAAGAAACTTATAAAAAAAATATATATTTATTACTCACATGGCTTTCCACAACAGCAAAGATTTATTGTAAATGTTTTAAAGTTTAAATCAATATCCTCATACCAATTTGTATTATGAATTATCCATAGTATTTTGCAACAGATGTTTAATTGTCAACATAGGGCTCAACACAGGGATTTCTATCTCAAGGGAAATTATCTAATCTCTAAATATCTAATTTCAGATCAAAGTTGATATATATTGCTTGAGTATTATTATGGTATATTTCTTTATGAGTTTGAAGAAGAGGTAAAAATTATCAAATGTCCCCTCTATGGACCCTCAATTAAAACAAGAGGCTCTAAGAGCCTTGTTTTTGTTTGTTTGTAGATCTTGCATCAATGATTATATTGCTGTTTAATATATATATCAATGTGTGTAACATGCTTTTAAAGATAACTAAATTCTCTCTATCTATCATAATTTCTGCAAAAAGCTAAAAAAATTGGTAAAAATCATCTATCAAGGGCAATAACTTCTATAAGATTCAATTGACATTTTCTGTCATGTTGAATTTTTGTAAGTCTTCCTGTACTAAACATCACTGTATGAAGTTTCTGTCTATCTATCAAAATTTCTGCGAAAAATTAACGATGATAAGGACAGACACTAAGTGACGGCAATAGCTCATGTGGCCTTATGGTCAAGTGTACTAAGAAATCTTCAAGATAACAAATGTGTAAATTTAGGACAAAAAAATATAGATTTGTTTCCTGCCTCCTTACTTACTGGTAATTTCCATGTCTACCCTTACAATTTTTATGGACATTTTTGGTTGATGCAGTTTAAAACAAGGTTAATATACATAAGGCCAAAAAAAAAATATGTCTGTTTAAGGTTACATACTTTTAAAAAATAGGGTAGGTACAATGTAGGTCGGTATTTCCCTTTTATTTTATTTTTTCATTTCATTTTTTGTGACATGATTTTGAGTCATGCCGTTTCAACTTGTCGTGGTCCGAGTTGATCATGGGCTGAGTTTACCCGTATTTTTAATGATTGGATTATTTCCCTTGGTAATTGGTTGGGGAAAAATGGCGGCAAAGTGTTTATTTCATCACACGAGTTGCAAATTTCCTTAAAACAGCTGTCATATTCACGATTGTGAACATTGGGATGTATCAGGCAATTGATTTATATTATTTGCAACACTAACTTTGCTTTTGACACGAGTTCAGTTTATTTTTCACTTTATGACGGAAATAAAATGACTTAGGGTCGGCGCTCAAAAGTAACCGTAAACAGACATATATTTTTTTTGGCCTAATACTCTGATTTACTATCATGTCATATTTTTCCAATGAAACATACTGAGGATTCATTATTATTCGTTGGATACCAATTTACGTGGATTTCATGGGTACAGGGAAACCACGAATTTAAATGTTCAATGAATTACAAATGTTCCATAGAAATATATGTTGCCTAAAGCAAAACCACGAATTCAAATATCCACGAAAATGGAAGTTTTCCTCAAACCACGAAAATTGGTACCCACGAAAATAAATGAATCCACAGCCTATTTATACATGTTGATGTGTACTATTTCAGTCTGAATCATTAACATCCCAGAATGCACTGTGAAAACTCACAATTTTTAACTTCAACTGAATCAGCTCTCTGAGTACTGTACAAATTTTCATACTTGAGACAGCAAGTAACAGCATTCATTATAACCCAAATAGCAGATTTCAAACCAAGAAACCAATCACAGGGGAAAGTTTTAAGGCTTCATTAATTACATCATTAAACAAGAATCTGTCTACTTTCAATCTAGGTCAAATGCTCAGTCAAGAATGAAATGAAGGTCATAACTCAAATTATTTGGCATAAAATGTTTACATCATAATCATGATAATGAACATGTGAATCACATTTTAAGGTGATGCAAACACAAGGCCACACTTCAAAATATTTTGGTTTGCCCAAACCCTACCCAAAGGTAGAGACAGTGGGTAGGTAGATAGGCATTTTCTTTTTTTTTTCGGCAAAGAGAAGTTGAAGTGTTTTCATGCCTATCTGATTAAAAAAAAACTTTTTCACATCAGGACAATAAAAGATTTTGAGTAGGCAGATATTTTCTGGGTATATAGGGTTATGGAAAATAAACATATTCTTTTTTATTGCTCAACTGCATTGTAAACCACCTTAATCAAAATCTTAAACTTGATATGAGACAGAGGGATCCTGGCCAGGAAAGACACACAGACCAGAAAACACAGTGTGATCTCCCTAACTGAGACGGAGAGATCATGGCCAGGACAGACACACAGACCAGAAAACACAGTGTAATCTCCCTTACCTATGAGCCTGCACACTTTTCTTAGAAAGGACTTCTGATATAACAATTAAAATGAAATTATGTATGGGATTTTGAAGGAAAAATTATGCTTGAATCTCATTGGTTAGTACATTTTACCCTGTAAATAATTATTTAAAAAACCCCTCAGTGCCAAAATAACCAACAATTGATCACAGCCAAAATGAATGGTTGCCAATTTTACTTGTTCATGTCATTGCAGCTAACTTTTTCTGTAGGTACCAACAGGAACTCGGTTCCGAAATTTGTTGTTACATATTACTTTTTACTTCAGAACAACAATATCTGTTTCTTGTATGCAATTTTCATGTGTAACAAATTGGTGGACATACCCCCCCCCCCCCCCGCCCCCCCCCCACCCCCTTGACTTTGAGATACCCCTCAAGGTAACCACACACTTCTAGACCAAGACATTTTGGCACCCTATTCCATAGACAATTCAGCACTGTTTCTGACATTTCCACATCAGAACATTTCTGGACCAAACAAATCACTCACTGCACCATGTTTTACATTTCACTATTATTATCTCATTTTTCTATGTTTCCTCTTAATTATCTTTAAAAGAAAATTGTTTAGGGGCCAGCTGAGGCCTGCCTCCTGGTGCAGGATTTCTCACTGCGTTGAAGACCGATTGGTGGCTTTGGGCTGTTTTCTGCTCTTTGGTCGGGTTGTTGTCTCTTGGACTTATTCCCGGTTTCCATTCTCTATTCTATTAACCAAATCATAATTGATCAAAGTTATGCATTAATCAGTATGTTATGTAAGTTTATAATGAGTTTTGATTATTTCTCAATAAAGATCAAAAGTGTACAGCCTGTTTTTGCAGCGTTTGTTACTGTTTGATTCCTAAAATTCTAAAGACAAGAACATACACATGATACATTTTGTACCTGTAAACTAAAATGTATCATTTTAACATCACAAGCCATATTGAATAAAACGCCAGACTGAACATGATTAAAGGATCTGCCATCAACACCTACTTCTCCAAATAACAATTAAAAAAATATATGGATTACTAATTCATAATGTACTCCATACAAGATTTCATATTACAAAACATTTGCTATATATATATATATTATATATATATATATAAAAAAGAAGATGTGGTATGATTGCCAATGAGACAACTCTCCACAAGAGACCAAATGACACAGAAATTAACAACTATAGGTCACCGTACGGCCTTCAACAATGAGCAAAGCCCATACCACACAGTCAGCTATAAAAGGCCCCGAAATGACAGTGTAAAACAAATCAAACGAGAAAACTAACGGCCTAATTTATGTATAAAAAATGAATGAAAAACAAATATATAACAGTTGCGTAGCTGGACTTACATAAAGTGCAATCATAACTATTTTTTTGGACCATTTTATGCAGAAAATTATAACTTTTTTCGGGCATTTTCCCGGTATGCCATGCTTATGAAATTCACATCACATTCACACCCAAACTCCTATTTTGTGAATACTTGTGGACTTTATAGTGATTCGGCAAGGGAGGAGGCTATGGACCGCTCAAAGTCCCCAGCTGGTCCAGGGTAGCACCCTAGTCGGGGATCCAGGGCAGCACCGTAGACGGTGGTCCAGGGAAGCGAATCCCCATGAAGCTCCGGGCATATGAGTAATTACAGTGACTGCTTTGAACATGAAAAATACCCTATCAATATATTTTATAAAACGGGAAGATCAGGAAGAGTCGACAACTGAAGCGTTAATCAATGGACTATTGACAAACCCGGGAACAGACAAGACACAAAAGGAGAAACAAAAACATTCAACATTGAAAACTAAATACAGATGAAAAACACGGACCCAGAAAACAATGTGGCGACCTACGGTGCTCCAAAAGGGTAAGCAGTTCCTGCTTCTTGCAAGACACCCGTAGTGTGTCTCATGAAGGTCATTCTCAAATCAAAGGAGAGGTTTCTACGACAACGGTAGAAGGTCATTTGGGACACAGATACCCCATGTGAATCAATAGTCTTTTGGAAGAAAGGATAATGGGAATACGAAATCTAACGGCAACTTTTTAGTCTTGACTTATAAGTAAGGGATATAAATCTAAGATGTTTTCAAGGTGATTGTATTGAGCCTGTATTATTAAATGTTAATACTGCATGTAAGACTTAAAGTATAGTTAATATCGAAAGTCCATATATCTATTTTTTGCCAAGGCAAATGATCGCAGAACTCTCTTGGTGTTGATATCCATTTCTTTGTGAACATGTATGAGCGCCAACGAAGATAGTCTGTCCTGTACCATGATTGAACAGAGATAAGTTTTCGGTCGCCTTAATGCACTAAATGACCGTTCAGTAGTTGATGTAGTTACTGGCATTGTAACTAGAATTGAGAAGATTGCAAATATTGAAGGACATATAGTTCCTTATCAGTCACTGCTACAGACGACATCAGAGATTTTGGCTTTAAACACCGCCCGACACGATAATCTGTAAAGACTAAAGACTATCCGTAATTCAATTTCAGAATTATTTTTTTTTTGTGAAAAAAACGTGCAAGCAAATGATTTTTTGCATAAAGGCAGCTACGCGCCTGTATAACACATAAACAAATTTTTTGGGTCATATGACTGACCCAAATAATTACACAAAATTTCCAAATTGAAGACATGTACATTTGTATTAAATCTAATACAATTTCTATATAATTTGTCCTGAAGACGCCGATCTAGTCGGTGAAACTAGTCGACAAAATAAAACTTGCAGTTCACTAAATGTTGAACATTGTCA